ATTCCCCAATAACTTGACACAAGACAGGAGCCTCGAAATTGTAATCCCCCCAATAGCTTGAGGCCAAACAGTACCCTACAAGTTGGAATTTGAATAGCGTGACAGAACGCAAAACCCTGGAAATTGTGATTCTCCAATGGCTTGAAGCAAAGCAAGACCCTGCAAATTGTTGGACGCGAAGCAAGACCCTACAAATTGTAATTCCCCAATAACTTGACACAAGACAGGAGCCTCGAAATTGCACTCCCCCAATAGCTCGGCGCAGAACGGGACCCTGCTAGTTGCAATTGCCCAATAGCTTGACGCAAAAAACGGTGACAATCGCTGCAATTTACAGTATTCGCAACCAAAAAGAAGAGCGTATGTTGGCAAATGAGATCGGGGACCGCCAGCAGTAGAAAAAAGAACCCTCCGCCGACAAGAGACCGGTACATGTACATGTTCTAGCGAACCAATAAGTGAGAGGCAGGTGCAAGTTGTCTAGGAAGTTCTGCAGGCCGCCGTCAGCCGAGAGCAGTCAGGCTGACCACTGAGATTCTGACGACAAAAACTCAGGAATTGTAGTGGTGACTGGGTCTGCGCGCAAGGTTATGGGGGTGTTGGTGTGAAGCGATATCTACCCGGCGGTGAAAGCCAGACACTCAGTCTGTCTGAAGGCTTTCTGTGAAAACGCTGCTTAGCAGCATCTTTCGGATTACATGCCGGCGTGAGCATAAGGCCCAGCTGCAAAGCGGAGGTAGCCAGGGTGAGAGCCTGCGGCCCCAACTGTTCCTTTATTAGTTATCGGCAGCTCGGAGTTTCCCGACAGCGCGAGTTGCAATACGCTTTCATGAGTTCCGCCAGGCTGGTACTGGTGACGGCTGCATGCTCTTAGATGTTGACATGTGAGAATCTGCCAAAGCTGACTCGGCTCCAGTTTGAAGCCGCTACGCTCACCCACCATATCCTGAAGCCACTTCTGCGCATCTGTCACCATTGCCTTGCCCAGGGTTCCGGACAATCACGGTTTCTGGTCCTTCACAACACGGCCCAAGCCCCCCAAGTTCGACAAATGAGCCTTGCTGAGGTACACAGTGTTTCCTGAGCACCCAGCCTACAAGCATTTAACCCCGAAGCTGCATTCTCATGTCAGCGTGCTACAACCCGACCGCTTCATGTGCTCCAAGCCATTGCTTCCTGCAAATTTGGGATGCCACACCGAACATGGATTCAGGCTCAAACTTCCGATGATGTTCGTACCACTCATGAACAGTTCCGCGGTGTCTGCCCAGCGATGTACGAATCAGCCATAAACAGCCACGCATAATACAGGCGTGCTTTCGTCTCGCACAGGTTGTCCATCTGCAGTCAGGGCTGGGTGCTTGGGCTGGTGAACGCAAGTCTGCTGAAAACTGTGGGCCATGAGCTTTCAGGCGATTGGTCCAGAACTTCCCGTCGGCGAGAAGAAAGAGAAGACCAACAGTCCAAGCAACATGAGTGCGTGTAGCAAGCCGGCTTTACATCGCTCGATTCGGCTCTATCGCCTCCATATAGCAGGACTGCGGGCAGCAAGCGGTCGGTCCGATGCTGAGCGCAGAGGCTTGGCAATCAGACGGCTTCATCTTGTTGGCTGGAGGCATCTGCCGCTTTGTTCGTGCCACCAAAGAAACAGACACGAGGCGCAATGTTCATGATCACCCCCGCTACTCGAGAAACGTTTCTTGCTGTGGCAGGCAATGATACGCGAATTGAGCCTCAGGGTCTTACGGGCTCATGGTCGGTGACGGTACAGCGTTCGGTGCTCAAGCTCCTTTTTCCTTTTGAGCGTAGAGCCAGGAGATCCAAGTTGATCCAAGGTCCTTTTACGACTTTTCAGCCCGCCACCGAGCTAGATTCTGGCCGTTTGACCGTCGGAGCTGAGCCGGTGCAGGTGTTGAGTAATTTGGCCGGTCAGGTACACCTTCGCCCAGTCTGAAGACAACATGGCCCATGTCTGAGACGTTTGGCTACCTCTGTCAACTCTCCTTTTGCAAATGACAAAGACTCTTTGAGCGATCTATTTATTTTCGGATAGTTGCTCGTTGGACGCGGTGCCTCGATTGTCTTCTGGCACCGGAGTTGCCAAGAGGGTTCAATTCAGACACGCCTGCCGACACAGGTGGTTGTTCGTGTTTTCTGTGTCGGTTGCTTGTGTTTACTCAGTTTACTCAAGACTTCTTGTAAGCACGTGGGAGCAACCACCAGCGCCACCTCTTGTGGCTTCACCTAGGACTGGGGACTGTTCACAAGTCTCAAGCGACAGCGACGTATAGAATAGTAGCACGCGCGAAGATCAGGCGAAGAAGACTTTACATTCTTGCGCACTGAATGAGGTCTCTGGTACCGGTTCCTTACTGGGAGATGCTCCACGAGCGAGCAAGGCCAAACAGTCCAGCAGATCTCGCATCGGTCGTGTCGCTCAGACCTTGTATCTGCTGTACCAGGTCACGGGCCATGTACAGGGCTATGTATTCACATGGAACGAGGCCGGAATGAAGTTTTCAGCTATCGCGATGATCGCAGTGTTGTATGGCGCCGGCCATGCCTTTGCAAGTCAGCTTCCAACGAAGCTTGGGTCTCCTGCGGGTTCTCGCAATGCACGGCCGCGAAGCTGCCCTGGGCTCTTACAAAGATGTAGGGTAGATGCAGCAGGCATGACCCATGATCCTTCGAGCCCTGGCACCTTGCCTACATCTCAAGTGTCGATGTTCATGGGAGGCGCTGACGTGTGATACAGATTCATGTTAGAGATGTGCAAGGCCGTATGCGTAACCAGCTCGGCCTCTACATTAGCGATGTTGTGCAGGCCTCTTCCCTTTCATTGCTGATCTCTGCGAGATGTCTGCTCCTAGACTGGCTCCAAGTGCATCACCTCGAAGTTTCGCTGCCACCCCGTGGAGCAAGTCACGTTTGTCGCGTCGTATCGAAGAAGTCGATGTACCCGGCCACACACCCAGTAATGCACATGACGAGCCGCTCAGAGACAGAACCAATGTCAGCGGAGATGCCCTTCAAGCTGGCTTGTGCAAAACGAGAAGCATAAGTCTAGGGGCAGATCGGCAACTTAACTTAGTTGCTTGATGTGAGCTAATTACATCTTGCAGGTGAGAAATTCCAGCGCATCGCGGCAATGCTTCAAGCGCGAATGCCGGGCGCCTGCCACTCTCGAAGCCCCCCAAGTCCAAGTGGTCTTGTGAGAAGCCGACAGGTTCTGCCTCCCAGCCATCCTTGGCTTCGAGCCCCATCCGAAGCGAGGTGGGGGAAGGTGGACTGTGGGGGGGGGGGGGGGGGGG